GGGCCCCGCGAACACCGCCCCGAGCGCCGCGGCGGCCAGCGGCGGCGCGGACGCCGCGACGACGACGACGACAGTCGTCCCCCGTCGCCAGAACCAAGGCAAGATGATCGGGGGCGGCGCCTGTAAAGATCAGCTCAAACGACGACCGCAGCGAGTCGCGCTCGAAATTGCGCCGCGGCAAAGAGAATCGATTACCTCCGCGCTGGGTGGCAGATCGCCGTCTCGGGATCGAGATGCTGACGCCATGTTTAGTGGGCTCGAGGACGCCATGCGCAATGACATGGTCACTGTCAAACAAGATTGCCAGGGTCAGAACAGGCGGCACGACGCGCTCGACTCGATGGCCCAGCAGCCGGCAGCCCAGCAGGCAACAGAGTTGGCACATATCGTAGAGATGAAATTCTCGGAGTTGCCAACAGGCAGGTTCGACGCAGTGGAACAAGACCTCGCTGCGCCGCAACAGCGCGGACCGCCTCGCGCCCCTCGCGCGGAAGCTCGTTCAGACCACGCGGCAGGTTCAAGATGGATGTTCATAGGAAGAAGGCGCGGGTCGGAGGGATTATTCTGCCGTGCTCGAGCGCGCCCCGGAGGCGGCCGCCCGCGGCATCGCCTCCCGCGTTCCTGAGGCGCGCAAGACGGACCCCCAGACCTCGCGCAGAAGTCAGACCCAGAGCTTCGCGCGCACGTTCGTCAATGAGGCGTCTGCCAAGTGGCTCGCGGAGCAGACCAGGGCGGTCGGCCCAAGCCCACCACCACCCCACTCCGCGCTCGCACTAAAGCTCCAGCCGCAGTTCGCTCCAGACATCGAGTTCTTGGGCGGCCGCGGCAGACGCGCGGGCAGCGCCGGCGCGCTCTCGCGCCCGACATTCAGAAATAGCAGCTTGGATGCAACGGATTTCGCGGCAACCTCTTCTCGATGATAGACGATGAGTTCGGAAATTTGTTTGCCCTGCGCGCGCTGGACCGCGAGCCGTGGGCCTTCGAGCCCGACTACGACGCGCTCCTCCGCCGCAAGATTGGCCCCGCTGCCCCCGCCGCGGCGAGCGCGAGCTCCAACCGCGGCGCTCCGCGAACTCGCGGGCGGACGCGCTCGGCGGCGGACGCGCCCAGAGGCGGGCGCGCCAACGGGAGCGCTCGGTCTCTGGGACTGGCAGCGCTCAAGCGCTTGAGGGGGGCGTGTCGGCAGAGGGTCCTGCTGCGCACGTGCCAGGTCCAGTTGCAGTGATCCAGGGCGCTCTCCGTCGCCCACCTGCTTCCAGCTCATCTGCCAGTGATTTGTGCGTTCAACCCTCTGGTGCCCTGGGCTGGCCTAGCGAGTTCCAGTGTAAGTGTTGGTTTTATTCTTGGGATGCGCGTTCTCTGCTCGGGTCTTGCTGGCCCACTCCCAGCGCGTTACAGACCGCGCGCAACGCGCGTCGTCAAATGATTGAAAAGCAGCATGTGGCATGCATTCAAGTGCCGCGAAGCTTCCAACTAGACATGGGTATGATTTGTATATATGGATTGCGTCTTACATGATATGGCACCTTCGTTCCTACTGCCCGCGCCCCTGCTGGTGGCTGCGCAATATTCCTCGGCCATCAGCTCCCTCGGCAGTTCCGCGATGATCAGCACCGCGTTGCGGAATGCGGGCGAATTCGCGTTGTTCAACTCGAGTTCACTCCATCGCGAAAGCGCATATTGATCTCGGCCACAGCGTCGCTCGCCAGAAACACTTGGTGCAGATGGAGCGCTGCGCCCCTGCTGCGAGTGAAGCAGTAACATTTTTGCGCGGCGACTGGAACTTTTACGCCCTGGGGCGGGCAGCCCCCAAATATCCTGGCAAACCATGCGCCCCCCCAGGGACGCCGTGGCCAAGTTCCCCGGGCTGCCCCCCCGGCCTCTGGGAGGTCGAGCAACCGCCTGCGACGCGCCGAGTTGCGCGCGATGGGAGAACTCCGCGGACAGGGAGTCCTAGACATGATCAACACCAACACCGCGGAGTTGCCCGACATGGCCCCCGACAGCCTCCTATTGGGATGCCCCTGCGATTGAAAACAGCCGCGTGATCGTGTTCCGGCGCGTCTGCCCCCTTGTCGCGGCGGCCCTCGCGGCCCCCCAAAACTGCCCAGACGGGTTCCTGAACGCGCCGGGCACCCAGGTGCATTCGAGGGGCAGCGCCTCGAGCGCGGCCATTTCCGCCTTGATCCTCAGCGGGCCCGGCGAAACTGGAGGACCTCGCACCGCCGCTCGCCCGCTTAAGCTTCGCCTCGAGGCTCGACGAGCTCGCGCGGGCCCGGAAGCTCGGTCACTCGCGGCGATGGGCCCCCCCTGCCGGCAAAAGCGCAGCGGTCAGGATAGCGCGTTCAGCGCACCCTAAGCCGCGTGACCTCGCGCGCCAAGACAGTCGCACGCGGACAGAGACCCATGGAGTTCGCGCCCACCTAGCCGAGCCATGGAGGCGCTCCACACATGTCCGCGCGCAGGAGATGCAGGCGATCGGGGGCCCAGAGCACAGTCAGCAGCCGCGACTTCAGCCCCGCTCAGTTCGCCGTCGCCCGGCGCGCTTCAGGACCGGCAGCGTCCTTCGGCGCGATCGCGGGCCCCGCGGAAGCCCGCCGTCGGCCCGCCGCGCATCGCGGCGAAGTTCACGGAGATAGGGCGTTCTTTCCCGCTGGAATTGCGCGAGCCGCTGCGCCCGTTCCCCCCGCGGCCGCCGGAGGGCGCGCCGCGGCGCCTCAAGCCTGAAGGGTATAGGGACATTCCGCGTAAACTCACAGGTGCGAGCCCCGGGCCCGACGGGGGATCTGCGAGCAAGACCCCGCGCGGTGCTCGAGAGCGCACGGCGCTGAAGCTGGGCCCGTTTAAACCCGTCGCGCGCCACAACACGCGCGCATTATTGCGCTTGGGCGACGCGGCCCAGCTCTTCTCGCCGCCCAAATAGAGTCTTCAGCAAGAGCCCCGAGCCCCCCCCGCACTTAACAAACGCTCGCGGCGAGCCCCCGCATGCCAATCGGAGCGCTGAAGCCGACGCCCGCGCCCGACACACTCACGCTGCGCGGCGAGAGTCGCCGCGCACCGAATCGCCCTCCAGCCCCGCCCCCTCGAGGAAGCATGGACGGCTCGGGCGATTGCGCGATCTCGTGGAAAGAGGGCCCCATGTCATGAGCAAACCACGTTCTACCAGATGCGCGAGAATTCGCCCGCGACGCATTCCCCTCCCGACGCCCTTGGATTGAGAGCCCCCAAATTGCAAGGCAAAGTAGAACGAGGAAAAAGTGCACATTGCAAGCATGGAAGGCACCGATGGGCCGCGCTCTTCATTTTCAAGTCGAAGCGACGCCCACCAAGGGGATCAGTTTCCATAGTGGCCCCCAGAGGTTTTAGGGGCGGCCCCCCCTCTTGCATTGTCTCATGCGCTGTAAGAACTGCATAGCATGATTGGAGCACTTCTGCGCGATGTTCCCTGGCTCGTAAGAACTGCACGTGTTGCAACATAGCTACTGGGGGTGATCATGTCGTGCACTACCACTCGTGTCCCGCCTGTTGGTATAGTATTCCTATCCTGCCGCGCTTGCCTGTTTCCTTATTGTCTGCACCTGGCTCCTCTCGTGTAGCTCGCCCCCCTTGCCCCCCATGCTCTAAGGCCCAGCGTGCATCCGCCGTTGCACATCTTGATATTCAGTGCGCCATGCACCATCCATGCCGGTATTTGGGAAGCCCCAAAAGAGGGCAGGTCCCACCGTTCGGCGCGGCCACAGTCGCGCAGCCCAGTCGGCGCCGTTCAGGCCTCGCCTGTCAGCTGAGGGGCGGATGAAGTGCGACGCTCTCTCCTCTCTTTCGGTCGCGTGCCTGGCAATGTGTTTCTTTTCTTTATGGGTCGCGTGCGTTCCTCCTCCTCCTCCTCCTCCTCCTTCTCCTGCTCCTCCTCCCCCCCTCCTCCTCCTCTTCCTCTTCCTCTTCCTCCTCATCCTCCTCCGCATCATGGAGGCCCTATTGGATGGGTAGGCGGGCTGCCAGGAGATCATGTTCGGCCGATTTTGCTGCCCCCTTTGACCGCCGTTGTCGTTTCGGCCTCGCGTTCTTCTCGACGCGCACCTGAGTCCATCATCGCGCGGGAGGCCCGATTGGGGAACGCGAGTGTTTCATGCCCTTGGACGCGCGTCGGCATGTGTGTTCGCGTTGTTGTTCGTTCTTTTCTCTTGGCAGCGGTGTTCCGCCCCCCCTCCACGTCCTCTTCCCCCCCCTCCCCCCCCCCCTCCCCTCGTCGGAACACAGCAGTTACGTTGATTCGCTGCGGTGAAATCACAGGAGTGGTGCCATGGCCCGATTGAGGGCTGCCAGGACACAGCAGTCACTCCATCGCGGCGCTGAAGTCCCAGAAGAAGTCTTCTGGCACGGCGACGGGTTGTCAAACGGTTGCCTTCCATTGAGGTTGTCCCCGCGCAAGTATGGACTGGCAAGGGTATATGAAGAAGGGACTTGAAAGGAGGGCTATTCCGCAACATCGTTGAAGCGCTGTGGTTTCTCATTGGTCCTCATCATCGCCTCCCCCGTCGTCATTATCGTAATCATGCACCTCTTGGCGATAGTACGGTTTCTGCTGGCAACGATACATTCGTCATCCTTCCCCTTTTGAAGCGATACGATGCGTTCCGTCAAACTATGCATGCGCTGAACCGTCAGCGTCTTACGCGCGCTGTTTACAAACCACTTTTTTCGAAACATAAGATTAAACCACCCCCGACTCTGCAGGGACAGCTATGGCGCATTTTTCTTGTGAACGACAACGACGTTTTTCCAGAGCACGGTGACGGTTTGCAACACTTCGATAATTTGCCAAAGTACGAGTTCGTGACAGACGAGCAGACGGGTAGAAGGAGGAGAAACAGCAGCAATAGAAGGACAAGCACCCAATGGGAAGAAGGCGGCACAAGGCGCGTGGCGCACGTGGTGACGCACTTGTTTTGCAAGAGGAGAAGCAGCAGCAGCAGCAGCAGCAGCAGCAGCAGCAGCAGCAGCACGAGCAGCAGCACGAGGAAGAGCGGGCGGGCGGCCCGCGGGCTTTGGCGGAGCGGGGGGCGGACGTGTTCCCGCCCCCCCCCCCGCGCTCCAGGCGCGCTGCCAGCGCCAGTGTTCGGGTCGCCGTTGGTGTTGCTGTTGTCTGGCCTTTTGGCGCGCCCAGCTCCCGCAGGGCGCGGAAGGAATGAAGGGGGGACGGGGGGATTGACATTATTGCGTTTCTCGCGATCCTCCTCCTCCTACACCTCGTCCTCCTCCACCACCTCTTTTTCTTCCTCCTCCTCCTCCTCCTCCTCCTCCTCCTCCTCCTCCTGCTCCTCCTCTTCCTCCTCCTCCACCTCCTCCTCCTTTTCCTTCTCCTCCTCCTCCTCCTCCTCCTCCTCCTCCTCTTCTGTTCTGTTCTGATTATATGCAAGCCCCGTCAATGGGGACCACCACTGAAAAGCAGAAACATATTTCAAACATCTGACAGAGTTCAACCCGGCGCAGCGGCCTTCATAGGATTATCATTAGTTGTTTTCGTCATATTCCTCCTTCTCGTCTGCTCATCCTTCCTCCTCCTGCTCCTCCTCTCCCTCCCCCTCCCCCTCCCCCTCCTCCTCCTCCTCCTCCTCCTCCTCCTCCTCCTCCTCCTCCTCCTCCTCCTCCTCCTCCTCCTCCTCCTCCTCCTCCCCTTTCCGTAGCCATTGTGGCGCAAGACGGCATATTTTGTTTTGCGGCTATAGCGAGCCTCGGCATGTGTTGAATCGCATGTTGATGTATGTTTTATTCGATGTTCTGATCAACATGGTTGGCGTGATGTTTTTTCGACGATGGTATCGAGTTGTCTTGTCGCGAGGTATCTTGCATCTCCACACAGGCATATGCCCGTCACGGCTTCCTCTGGCAAGCACGATTCGGGATTATTCAGTGTTGTGCATGGGTTTCGGTGCATTTATTCGTCCCTTGTCCGACACCGCCTTCAACATATTGGCATCATCCACCACTTGTTTAGACACTTTTCAGATCTGTGGGAGGCTGCCTTTTTCGAGCTGTTGGAGACGAGCTGTGCGCCGGCTTCCCAGACTGCCGTGGTCGAGTGTGTGCCCCGCGATGGCAAAGTCGTGCACGCCAGGCGCCTGATGGAGTTTTCAATCATTTTGTCGTTTCGCCCTTCTGCTTGCGTCGCGATGCACCTGTGCTCGTCACGCGCCAGCTTTATACGTCGGAGCGTGTCGGAAGCGGTGCTCTCAGTTCTAGCGGTGTTGGCGGCAGCCCAGGCTCAGTATGATAACTAACCAGTTGGACTTGTATCACAACCTAGTGGAGGCGCAGAACTCGTTGATTTCGAAGCTCCATAGTGTTCTGGAGATGCAGGCGAGCGAGGATCAGTCTTATACTTCTTCGCCGCACCAGTGAAGTCCGCATTCTTAGCATTGGAATTCGTTATTGTTAGTATTCGTAGTATGTTGATCATTCGTCTTAGTATAGTATTTAGAGTCATGTGTCGAAGTATTCTCAATCTTCACCTGGCAATTTTTTAGTATGTTTATGTTTCGTAGTATTTTCCGTGTTGGTATTATGAGTATTAGTGTTGGTGTTTTTCTCATTGCGGATATGAGGATTATCAGTATTGTTGTTCATACGATTCGTATCGCTATTGCTTTAGTCGCAATATCGCAAGATTCGTCTTCATGTTATTGTTCTATATGTTATGCTTATTGGTAGTATTACCAATGGTGTTGATAGTGGTTCTAGTGATTAGTAGTAGGTAGTATGTAGTTAGTAGGACGTAGTAGTAGTAATAATAGCGATGGGAAGAACAGTCGTAGTAGTAGTAGTAGTAGTAGTAGTAGTAGTAGTAGTAGTAGTATCAGTAGTAGTGGTAGAGGTAGTAGTCGTAGTCGTAGTCGTAGTCGTAGTCGTAGTCGTAGTCGTAGTCGTAGTTGTAGTAGTAGTAGTAGTAGTAGTAGTAGTAGTAGTGGTGGTAGTAGTAGTAGTAGTCGTAGTGGTAGTAGTAGTAGTAGTAGTAGTAATAGTAGTGGTGGTAGTAGTAGTAGTAGTAGTAGTAGTGGTAGGAGTAGTAGGAATAGTAGTAGTAGTAGTAGTAGTAGTAGTAGCAGTAGTAGTAGTAGTAGTAGTAGTGGTAGGAGTAGTAGGAGTAGTAGTAGTAGTAGTAGTAGTAGTAGTAGCAGTAGCAGTAGCAGTATTAGTAGTAGTAGTAGTAGTAGTAGTAGTAGTAGCAGCAGTAGTAGTAGTAGTAGTAGTAGTAGTAGTTGCAGTAGTAGAACGGCTGATAATATACAAAGAATATTACAATTGCTTTATTCCACGGTTCCATGTGCTTCATCTGCTCCTGGCCCCCATTGTCCCGGCAGCGAGGCCGAGGAGGACAACCCCAAGATGCGTGGCCGCACTGGCGCGCTCAAGGCCCAGACCCAAGTTATTCGTTACGCTGTCATTGATGATGTCAAGACGATCGTAGCGATTCGGTTCTCAAGGTTGTCTGTCAAGTTGTTCCAGGTATTGTTCCAGAGTCGACGAAGAATCATGCGGACTGTTCCCCAAACAATGCTTGCACCTAGGGGTGCTCACTTGGCTTCGCCATCTCGGGGCCAAGGGCGGTTTTTGCTGGCGGTGCCGCCTGTCGCCGCGCGTTGCCGCCAGTCGTCTCGGGACCCTGGGCGGCCGTCGCCGTCCGTGCCGCGCGTTGCCGCCGTCGCCGCCGCCGTCGCCGCGCCGTCGCCGCCGTCGTCGCCGCCGTCGCCGTCGCTGCCGCTCGGGGCGAGCGGCGGCTTTTGCGGGCGGCGCCACCCGTCGCCGCCGTCGCCGTCGCCGCCGCTCGGGGCGAGCGGCGGCTTTTGCGGGCGGCGCCGCCCGTCGCCGCCGTCGCCGTCGCCGTCGCGTAGATTCTCTTTTCTTAAAAGAGAATATGTCTACCCCCCTGGGATAATCGGTACCCTTTCTCGTTTTGCAATTTACATATGATTCCGCGCGGTAGTCCAGCCGAAGTATGAATTCATATCACCCCAGTCCAGCCGGCATCGACACCCCCTCATTTTTTCTCATATATATATATAACACAAAAACTACGCGCCGCTCTCGTTTACCAGAAGAGCACACATGTTCAAGAAGCCCTCGCAAACATAACGAAAAATGCGAAGATGTGCGCGCAGACACAAGCACACACACACACACACACACACATACACACAGCCGCGCGCGCGCCGTCGCGCGCGCATGCTGAAATCGTTCAAAAGCATGAGGTGTCGTAAGGATATCTGAATCAAGTGTCCAAGAAACATACAAAAACACATTGTTTTGCAACACGGATGTTCAAACAAAGCTTGCGCGCCCTTGCGACTTCTTGAGCAAGCCATCGGTTCTTCAACATGTTCACAGCATGCTACCAAATGGGCGTCGCGCGCGCATGTCGAAATCGCACGAACGCCCTCGCGCGCGTGCTGCCGCGAGAATCCTTTGCGAAACATGCGACGAAACGCGCGCGCGTCGTCGCGCGCGCATGCCGAAAGCCGTCACAACCTTCGGTGTCGCGGGGATTTCAGAACCGAGCGTCGCGAAACCATATGACAGCATATGTTGTCGCAACAACAGTTTTCAAACAAAAACTTGCGCTCGCGCTCTTGCGAATTCTTGCCAACATGTCCATTGAACTTCGCCGAACAAGCTACTCGCGCTGCATGCCGAAATCATTCGGGCGCCCATGCGCGCGTGCGGCAGGGGGGGGCACGATCCGCGTCAAATCACACCACGCGGGCCACTCTCGCGAGTCGGCCGCGCGCTCACGTCGAACTCCCCCCAAAACCTTCATCGCCGGCGCGAGGACGCCGTCATCGTCATCTGCGCGATCAACATCGGCGCCGTCGCTGGCCGCGCCGTCGCCGCTGTCATCATCGCCACCAGCAACGCCAGTACACCGTTGGCGCCCACCGCAGTCTACCTTGCCATGACACCGCGCCCGCCCAAGTCGCCGACTCGCAATGGAGCGCCCGCTGGGACTCGCCCAGCGGTCGGCGCCACCACGGCCGCGTCGGTCGCGCAAGACTTGCCCGCCGCTGCGCGCGCGAGCACACGCGGGCTCGCGCGGCCGCAGGGGCGCACCAGCCGACGCCAACTACTCACCGCAATCGCCGCCGCATGGGCCTTGCAAACCAAGTTGCCGGCGAGCGGGCGGGATGGTTGCGCGAGCGGTGGAGTTGGCAACTCACTGCGAACAAACATTGACGTGCCTTTCTAAAAGAATAAAGTCGACCCCCCCCCCCCCCTAGATTATAGCCTCGCATTGCAATGTACACGCAATTCTGCCCGATTGGCCATCCGAAATACGCACTCTCACCACCCCAGCCCAGCTGGCATCATCCCCGCCCGCCATCCCCTTGCAAGAAAAGTCACGCGCAAATTCGCCTGTCCAAAAAAAACGAAGTGCGCGAGCGCGTCGTCGCGCACGCATGCCGACATCTGTCGGAGACCCCGAGTGTCGCCAGGATTTAACCCGAGCGCCCCCCTCCCCACGCAAAAAAATATCCCGGCAAAGCAACCTAACAGCGATGTGTACAAGCACATCTGAAGGCATTCCCCTTACGATTCAGGTGAGAATCCAGTTGTAGAGTTCTGCTGTTCTCGCAGTCGCAGTCGTTTTCGCAATGACAGTCGCAGTGGCAACGGCCTTTGGACCCAATGGGATCCTAAGGATTCCTATGGATTCCTAAGGCATCCTTAGGAATCCATAAGAATCCTTAGGAACCTTCGGAATCCTTAGGAATTTTGATTCCTATGGATTTCTATGGATTCCTAAGGATTCCCTTGGAATACTAAGGATTCCTACGGACTCCTGAGGATGCTTAACTATGCCTACGGATTCCTAAGGATGCCCACGGATTCCCTGGGATTCCTAAGGATTCCTACGGATTCCTAAGGATGCCTCAACCTGCTTCAGTTTCAGCCTCAGCCTCAGCCTGCCTCGGCTTGCTTCAGTCTCAGCCTCAGCCTGCCTCGGCCTCAGCCTCGGCCTCAGCCTCAGCCTGCCTCAGCCTCAGCCTCAGTCTGCCTTGGCCTCAGCCTGCGTCAGCCTCAGCCTCAGCCTGCCTCAGCCTCAGCCTCAGCCCCAGCCTCAGCCTCAGCCTGCCTCGGCTTGCCTCAGCTTAAGCCTCAGC